AGAGTGTACGTACGTTTGTCCTCTCTCTGACGTGCCTTATTTCTGCTAGAGAGCCTGAATGGTCCGAAGTGTTCTTCGGGAGAGCGTAACTGTGCCCGACTTGTGTGCGATGTGTGACTAACTAATTTATTTATATGTAAAAAGATGTACCTTGTAAAATGCAGGCAAGGTGTTTTACTGCTGTGTGAGTGATGCCCCTTTTGATTACTGTTCCATTGGCTTCACTATGATCACTATTTAAACTGCCGACTTTTTATTCTTATGCATGCGTGTAATTTTAACTATGTTGCCGAATATGTGTGGCCACGTGTCGTCTTCACATTATACTAAAACACTGAGCGGCAGTTACACTTGAGTGAGCGCGAAGTGATATTACAATGAGCCCTTTGAATACGCGCACGAACCGAAGGCTTGATCGTTCCGTGGTGGCTCTGCTGAAAATACCGACCGTTCCATGGCGGTCCTGCTGAGGGCAGATCAAGACCCATGTGCCATGGCTTCTGCTGGTAGATGGTTAGATCGGTTGACTATGGTCGGTCACGGCAAGATGTTAGTCACAAGCGCAGTTGAGCGAGGGTGGTACGGCAAGAGATGATTTTCTAGAATGTTTTTATTATTACATTTTGCTTACATTACTAACCCTTTTTTTATATCCAATAATTTTTACCATATATACAGATAAACACATCCATATGAATCTAAAATAGTATCCGAGAATCAATTTATACGAACTAAAACTACGTATAGAAAATTATATTTTAAATTTGTGTGATATTAATGAAAATACTTGTTATGGTCATCTAAATATATTACGTAATTTGTATTAAAGTTGTTTTATGATACTACGAAGCTCTCTATACATATTGGATTAAATCTATCTTTTCAAATTTACTAAGATAGCTAATTTACTTTATATTTTTCTGATGGTAGTTGGCAAAGAAACGGCAGTAGTAAACAATGAAAGAAAAACAGTGACAATGTTTATTTAAAGTACATCGATTAGCAAACATTGGCAGGACTTGTCTTTTTAACATTTAATTCATACAAATTCTTTCTCTAGCCTCACTTTATTATAATAATTTGACATAATTAATTTCACGAAACGTAACATTAATAAGTTGTAAGATTTCTCAGAAAATAGAAAAGTCGTAAAAACATTAACATTTTTATAGGCAATATAAAATATTATGTTGTATATATTTTATATATTTATTATATAACTGTATTATACTGAACTACTTTGCAACATAAAAATAAATAAGAATTTTTTTTAAGAAAATTTCGTTTTCTACTTCAAACAATCAGTAATAAATAATGTTTAGGCTGGTACAATAAATAGAGGCAGTGATGTAATTGCAGCCGGAATGGTAGTCAATGACTGGATTTCCTTTTGCGGTATGGACACCACCTCAACAGAACTATCTGTTATCGAAAGCGTCTTTAAATTAAATGAAAGTTCTTCAACTACAATTAACTCAGTAATACGAGCATCGCTTATTGAAAGGTACTTTTCATCTATAAAATAATATTTTTATTTTCATGTAACATAACAAATTTTTTTAAGTATGTATTATTTATTTTACAATATCAGAAATCAAATTAAGTAAATAAATGAACTATTTTAAAAAAATGTTGGTATCACTCCAAATTTTTTAAATAATTTATACTATACATAAAATCTCTTAGATTAAGTTTGCATTAATTCATATGTAACTTTAAAATATAAAAATTACTCTTTCAATATTTGATGAAAGTTGGATCTAATTCTGTTTGCAAGAACATATTTATTCTATATGTTTATTTTAAACTAACGTATCTGTCTATTAACCGACTTATTAAACTTACTAGGTATACTTTAATTTACATTAATATTCATTAATTTACTTATTATATATATAAATTGTGTTAACTATATGTCAACAATTCGTTACGTTATCATAAACTTTTATTATCTCCTACTTGTACTTTGAGGCAAAAAATCAACTTTGCACATTTCTATTAAGTTTCCTTATTAAATATATCTGTAATGAATAATTTTATATTCACATTATACATATAGACCGAAAATACTACATAAAAAATAATATAGTTGGTTATGATTTTATTGCTGTGTATAATTGTTAACAGCCTATTTATTATAAATTATGAACGATAATTTATTTTAATTATCAACGATAATTTTAAGGTATATTTCCTATAATTTTCTAAATTAATAAAAAATCATGTGAATTGTAAAATATTAAAATATTGGATTTTAATATATTTTTTTCTTAATATTTATTTAATAGCTTTATAATAATTTGTTGCCCGCCCTAGCGGTTGCTTGTGAAAGATTTAAGTGGAAGGGCTGTAGAGATATACAGTGTATGCATACTTCGTTAAATATGGTTTATTATGGTTTATTGACAATTATATTATTGATGTATTAGATTTATGTGATGGAAGAGTGTATACTATGTTCAATCACAGTGATACAGTAGCTTTGATCTGATCCTGTGATGAATAGTTCACCATCACGAATGCTCCTTGTTGATGGTGATGAATTGGTGTTGCTGATTTTGTAAGGATCAACAACTAATTATGCATACTCCTTATTAGGGAGTATGTTTTGTGTAGTCTGGCGTTTTCTTGATATGAAGGAGATAATGTCAACACATATTTTGCGGGCACAGGAGAATTGACGCTTTTCCTTCTATTGTGGCCGTACTCAGATAGAGTTTGTTTACTAGTGTATCCCCAGTAAGTAAGAGCCTCTCTTCCGTTCCCACTATAAGAGCGCTTTTCACGAACAGTGCATGCCTTAATATATCCACGCGACAGCCTAGTTAGAGCTGACAACCACGGAGGCGATTATGGTCCTAAAAGCAATGTTTGAGACTGCACTAAAAGCTTTTTCAGATGTCCAACGACCGTTGTATTTTTCCCCAAATGCGTAGCGGCAATGGCTTTCCCCGGATGTCTAACGGATTGGGTTTTCCACAAATGTCTGACACGCGGGAGAGGTTCTCACAATCTCGAATAAAATTTAACATTAAGAAAATCTAATATAAAAGATTAGATTAGATAGCCGTAAAGTATTAGGTAATATAATTTACCATTATGTGATTTTTAAATTATGCGATTTTTGTTATTTGTGATTTATCTGATTTTTAAAATATTCAATTATTCAATTAATTCTTTGAATGAATTGTAACGATTCATTAAGTATATTTAAAATTAAATAGCTATTTATAATAGGTATGAATTATTTTTATTATTGCACATATGAAATTCGCTTTATAAATAGTATCAGAAAGCGTTCTTAAAAATTTTTGAATAAAATAATTCGATATTTTAATCTAATATAAACAATATGCTTAAATTTAATTTTTATAAACCATTTTGTTTGAAAATGTTTGATTTTCATGATTATCCATATGAGTGTTACGCGTGAGTTTGTCCAAAGATGGGTTGCCTTAACGACTATTTTCAGCGTGTCTAGGACGTAATGTATTAGTTTTGATAGGAGTAGTACTGTAGGTAACTCCAATCTTGGTAAGTGATAACGCACTTACTACCTATTGTTCGTCTATCCACAGGATTCTCTGAAGGTCCCAATCATCTTTGTGAATTTATTTCTGTCTGTACATTTTTGTGATATCGGTGGCAAAAAAACATCGTCTTCGGATCGAAGTCAAGACATATTTCTGTCTTGGCCCACTGGGAATGATGTCGTTGATTGCAAGATCAGACGTTGATGTGCTGGGGCCATTAAAATACAACTATTAGTTTGGCTGTTTGAGCACACCGTGATGTGGCATATAGTATTGAATTAGATGATTGGACGCTGAAGAGGCCTTAGTCATGTGATTAAGATCGTCATATTCCATAAATCATGAACAGCTGTTAACGTATTAAGAATGTTAGCCTGTGTCAATAATAAGACGTGCATGTACTGTGGTAGTTTTTGACTGTATTTCTGTTATGGCCGTGGCTAGTAACGATGTGGTATGAACTGGTATTTCGACGATTTTACCATCATGTCATCTGGATGATCGGTTTTAACTACTGATTTGAATAGGTTCTGATTTGAATGCATCATGTAGCATAGTATGGTGCCGTTTGGAGCACGTCTTGCACTTTGTCAGAGTTCTGCACGAGCCGACATTGTGATGTCTTAGACAGTTGAGACAAAGTTCGCGTTGTATTGCCAAATTGTCTTTCTACTACTGTCATATCCCAACATTTTTTACATGTTATTTTTGACATTCGCACGCATTTAAACCATTTCTTACTGCTGAGTGAGTTGACTGAGCATTATTCATTGATACCTGATAAGCATTTGATGTTTTTCTTGACGAAGATTGAAACCGTACTGCTAATCTCGGGTGATCTGTCATTGATTCAACCCGTTTTAACGCTTTAACGCTCTTAGTCGAGATGTTAGAAAGGCGTTTTGTTGATCGAGGCGCCGATATGAGGTGGAAGTGCCAATTGATGACTCCCATATTTCCCTCGAGGTACAGTCGAGTTGTTCAGAGATCGAATGTATTATGATGCCGTACAAACCTGTGATTTACAATGCTAGTAACTGTTGACAAGTTTCTCTAACGCAGTTGTGTTCCCCTTCATTGTTGTCAAGGGGGGCGGGCATGCTTGAACTAATAGCCGTTTATTATTGTAACAATCAGTTAGTACTTCCCGGCTGGAGCAAGTGATTCGATTCTCAGCGGGAGTCTAGAAATTAATTGCACTATTGGCCCTTCCAAAGCGACACGGAGGTAATGTAGCTTTTCAACCTTACTAATTTCATTGTCTATTATCAATGCCATGAAAAGATTGCAAAACTCAGACCAGTCTTTTTGCTTGATGAAGAAACTAAGCGAGATTCTTTATCGAGATGCGACCCCACAGAGTTTTTGCCTTTAACTCAAGTTCAGTGAGTAATTGTGTTGGTGAGGCATTTCGAAGTGTCTTTCTTTGATTCTATCTCTTTTTTGGTTGCCATGTACTATCGGCGTGTACTACAGAGAGGTAGGAGGTCCTAAATTTTCAGACACCTCTTTGCTATGTTTTAGGTGGTGGGTTTCTACGCGGAGAAGTAGGAGAACGTAAATCTCCGGTTACTCCTTAGTGTAGTACCACGTGTTACCTAGCACATAGCGATGCAAATGTAACTGCTAAATGTTTGAATTTGCGCAAATAGGGCACTAGGGAGATGCACTTATATTCGGCTCGGAGGACCAAATTTACGAAAATGTTTGATTTTTTGGCTCAAACTGCCAATGTTCGATAGTTCAATTTAATTTGTCTCCTGTCTTAGCGGATGCTTGGTTAAGAACTTAAGTGGAAGGGCTGTAGAGGTGAACAATGTATGTAAAATTCGTTAAACATCGTTTATTAAGGTTTATTGACAATTACATTATTGATGAATTAAATTCACTTCTCAGTAAAATGTGAACTATGTGCAATCACAATGATGTAGTTGCATCTTGTTGATGGTGACAATATTGTTGTTGATCTTTTAAGGATCAGCAATGGATTATACACACTCTTTGGAAAGGAGTTTGACATATTTGTGTAATCGATGCCATTGCTAATATTGTACCAATTAGCAAAGAGTTGCAAAGAGCACACTCAGTTGGAGGGAGTATGGCTTAATTGTGTAATAGTTACCTTCAATAAAAACTACTGATATATCTTCGTGATAAGGAGTATTTCGATATCATGATTCTTGTAGTCGAATATTTTCTTGTAATGCAGTCAGCACCCTTCACTACTTGTTAAATGATGCGCACTGGAGATTGACGTGTATTCTTTGCTTCACTGTCAGAGTGTCCACGAAAGAGCTCTTGTTCCTTTCATTGC